TCATTAACAGTGCTGGATCAATACAAATAATCTGAAGCGACTCCGAGCAGCAGGGGCAGGTCATCTTTACAAAGAGATGAATATTGATGTGGTTGCTCTGAGTGCTGCACAGCCCCCTGGCACAGTGGCAGACAACCAGAGCCGCTGGGGCAGAGCCTGCAGGCCAAATACATGGGGAATATGCACTGCACGTGCACAGCAGGCTGTTCTCTGCTGTTTGAAGAGCCAGGCTGTGCTGTGGTGCAGGAGAGCCCAAGCATGGGCTGCTTCCCATTCCTTTTCCTGCTGCTGATGGAGGCAATGCCTGCACGCCGCCATCCAGGACCAAGTGATGCAATCTCTTCTCAGCTAACTTTCCATTGCAAAATGTAAGACCCGGGGCATCAGGCTGATGCTCTCTGCCTGGAATCACTGTAGGCAGAGCAGGGGTGGGCAGTTGTTGCTCTGTGATTCACAGAATCCTTCAACAGGTGACTGCTGAAGTTGTAGTTCTGTTTGCTGTCCTATTTCTTTTTTTTTTGGCCTGGCCATTTGACAGCAGATATTCATTAGAACAGTTTGTATTTGGACATTTTTGAGAGGCCCCTTGCCTTTGGCTCTGAGTTGCCAATGTGTTTTTTATAACAAGTTCTCATGAATTTCCCCCGGATAGAAATGAACAAAGGAGCTGGAGGAGGGGGGAAGGTTTCCAGTTTCTGGGAGGGCTTTGCAAGCAACTCAATTAAGCAGGCAGCGGTGTTCAGTTAATAACTGAATTTTGTCAGAATTCAGCCAATTAATCTCAAAGGAAAATGAGCCATTTTGCAATGCAGCCACTCCAGCACCCTTCTCCATTCAGCTCTTCTGCTGCTCTGCTGTGCCTCACTGCTTGGACATCTGACACTGGGGGTGTTCACAGGGATGGCAGGGCCCCAAACATTGCTGTCACCAACCCGCAGCCTGCCGCCTTCTTGCCAATGTGCAGGAGGCTGCTCTCCTTTCAAGGCTCTTGTGGCCTTCCAAGAGTTTTCTCTTTGATTCCCTTTCCTCTGCGCAGTTCCTTCCCCTCAAAAAAAAAAAAAAAAAAAAAAGAGGAAAACAAACCCACGTTGCCTGATGAAGAGAAAAAAATCCCACTCTTCGTTAACTTGTGGATATATGAAGAATAAACCAAACAAAACCTGCTGGTCTCTTTTGAAGGGTTGAAATGGACTCGCTTTTAATGCTGGTTTATGATATTTCCATAGTTTTCAAATTGTTTTACTGCTGCCGTCCAAATTAACCAACTTGTTCCAGCATGAGAAGTCACGTTTGGATTCAAAGAGCATTTCCTGCTATTTGTCTTTGAAAGCGATATCGGAAATGACAAAGAAAGTTCCTTTGGAGAAATCGTTGACATAAAGAGATTGATGACTCGGAGCCAGTGATCTCATCGCACGTCTTCTGTGAAAATAGAGCATTTTGATGGCTTTTCTCCAATTTGCAGTACTTAACAGCAGTATTGATCCGAGAGGACGAAAAGTAAGAGCAGTGTAAATGATAATCGGGAGCGATTTGAAATGAAGCTTTTTTCACTCTCTCATCTCGCAGTTGAGGACAGAGAGAGAATGCAGCAATCAAAGCACGTGTCTCTGTAACAGCTTACAGGTTTATAACACAGAAGTAACAAAAGGAGAACGTTTACAAACTGCATTTTGCTGATTGCTGAGGGAGGTTTGAAGACTCATGTCACAGCAGCAGGAGCTCCAAAGCATCCCATACACGAAGCCCATAGCAGTGCAGTCAGCAGCACGTGAGTCCCTCTGCAGAGCAGCTCATCCCTGAGATCTGGGCAGTGCTGTCCTGCACACAGTGCAGAGAAAATGCAAAGAGAACTGAAAACAAACCATGTCTGCCTCACCTGCGTTTGGCAACTGCACCCCAGGCTGGTGAGGTTGGTGAGAAATGGGGCACGGGAAATTATACTTGCTGGTTAAATAAGTGGCTGTTTTTGTGCTCGGCTCCTGCTCGTCGTCGTGTTCTCGCAGGGAAATGAAGAGCTGTGTTTATACCAAATGGAGTTACTGAAGTATCAGAAAGCACAAATCAACTTGCAAATGAAATTATATAATACCCCAGGAATCAAAACTGACAAACATAGAGATTTGCTGCTAAATGAATTGCAAGCTAAGATAAAAGGCAGCCCATACAATTAGCCAGGTATGATACACTCCCTCGACTCAGGAGCTGCTTCCAGCTCTTTGGCACGCTGCTCCACTTCAGAACTAAATAAGCAGCAGAGGGGTTTTGAGATCAATAGTGTAGCATGAGCAGCAAAGCAAACTGCAGAAGGCATGTTGCACTGCGGGATTTTTCCTGCCTTCATACAGTGCCCTGCAGCCCCTGTGGGTGTACACCCTGCCCCCAGCTGCAGGAGGACAGAGCTGGTGCACAAAGCTCTGGAAGAGAAACATGCAAGGGACCAAAGCCCAGACAGGCTGTGTATGAGGACGTGACCACTGTGAGGATGCAGCAGCCCCTCAGCAGAGCTCACTCAGTGCCAGGATGGCACGGCTTGTCTTCTTTTGGATCATATGTGCATTATTCTGGAGAATCATTTCTGGCTTAGGCAGAAAGTTGCCTAAGCTGATAACCAAAGGAATGAAAAGATGGAGGGATTAGGAAGCGCAGCAAGATAAATTCAGGCTACAAGCGAGGTGCTGATAATAAAAAGAAAAACTGAGCAAGCTTCCTAGGAATGCAGGTGTTACCACTATGAAGCCAAGCCTGGCTGTCACTGCAGGGCAGGTTTGCTGCTCTCCTGCTGCTCTCACACACCTGGTGCATGAAACACATGGGGGAGTGTGGGCAGGAGGCTGTGTAGCCATTGGGACAGCATCTTCTAGCCTTCAAGTCCATTAACCTCTGGCTTTCACCTCCCTCTCCAATAGGAACAGTCATTCTTTGTCTGAGGAACATGTTCTTTGAAAAACAAGGTCCCACTGGGACACATCTGGGTCCATAGGCAGCACAGATCAGGCAGTGCAGGCCATGTGTCAGGCTGTGCTCATCCTGAGTGACTGGAACAAGCTGCCCAACGTGGGCTCTCACAACGGGCAGCACCTTGGGCTTCACTCTCTGAGCTCATTTGACATTTTCACACGTTTTGTAGCGCTGCTCTGACTGGTGCCACTTGCTCTTCTGTCATCTAATTAACTAACGAGACATATGATGAAGCCATGACATGCACAAGGAATGACAGGGCCACCAAGCGCTGCAGCGTGACGTTCCCTGCGGCGCCCAGCAGAGCAGCAGAAGTGGGGCAGGCTGGCAGAGATAAGGCAGTAATGGGTGTTGAAGTACGAGCACTTCTCAGAGTGAAGAAAACCAGCGCTCTGAAAGAGACTCAAGGAGTTTTAACCCAGGGCAATTTGCTGCAGGAGGAAACTGTTGCTTCCACTGGGAGCCAGCCCTGGGTGGGCAGCGTGATGGGGGCTTCCCAAAAACAATACAGAGCCCTTGGATCTGAAGGATGTGCTGCAATAACTCCCTTGGAATGTTTCAGTTTTGAGTTAATAAAGCTGTTATATCTAAATCGAGTTATAGGTATCTGATGTTACTCTATTCAGTTTTCACTGCCTTTTGCTTAGGAAACTAAATACCATGATGCATAATAATAATTAAAGATTGGCAGATGAGCAGGAAATCAATCCACGTCTCCTGGGCAGATATTAACTCTCATCCATTTTTCTGTTTGTTTGTTCCTTTTTACAAACATGCAGCCACACTGCCTTACCCACACTGAATTAGCAGAGCTCACTGACGAATGCCCTCACTGATGGAGCATGGCTGGAGCTGCTGCTCTCTGGAAGAGCTCCCAGCATCCCCTGTGACCCCTCTGCAAATGGAGTTTGCAGAACAGATTCTCCTCTCTTTCAGAAGCTCTCTCAGTACACACATGACGCTTACAGCCAGGCTGCATGACATACATGAGAAAATAAAACCCCTCTGCTCACCTGGGTTTGCAGGGGCAGATTAAAGAAACCTGATCTGTTTTCTTTGAAAGAGAAGACAGGTGGGTAACTTGATTACAGCCTACAAATGCCATCTCAGAAAAAGCTTTGTGTTGATGAGAGGGGCTTCAGTGAGTAGCTGAAAACAGGTGGATCCAGAGCCTGGAAACTGAAATCAGGCAACTTCAGAGTGGGAAGCAGAGTAATTAAACAGCAGAATGGCATTCATGGGGATGAAGTGATTCACCAGTACTTCTAATAGCAGGATGGATGTCTTTCCAAAAGATAGCTGTGGCTGAAGAAGGAGGCTTGTGCCAAAGGGGGAACACATGCAGTATCTCAGGGATGGTAACTGTAAGCGTTAACCTTGATAAAAACGTGAAAAATGAGAACAGATTTGGGATTTCTAAAGGCACTGTGAGGAACACACACGTGCTTACACAAGGCTGGGCGAGGGGTGGTAGCAACAACCTTCCAAAAAGCTACTTTTCACTCTTTTGTCTGCCCCACATCTCTCTGTGCCCAAACCCCTGAGCCCACCTCCCATCACTCTCCATACGTTCCCCTGCCACTGAGCTCTTTGTAACATTGTCCTCTGCTCAGAAGCTCCCAGTGCTTCTGCTTCTGTGCAGTTCAGGCCACGCAACCCTATGGACAAAGCCAGTGTGCAGGGAGTGGCTGTGCAGTGACTGTACCTCACTTGTTCTGAAATGCATCCAGGAGACTATGCAGAGATAAAAGGCAGAAGAGAAAGGTAACTGCAAAGAAAGGCCTGTGGGTGGTGCTGGGGGGAAACATGACAACAGAAAATGATGTGCATATGGTGTGGTGCCTGCACAGACAGCACGACAAGATGAATGTTAACCTGAAGCCTGCAGAGCAGAAAAGCAAAGGAGAGAGCTAACCTGTCAAAGCCATGACTGAGGGTTTTGGGTTGTGCCCGCAGGTGGCACTGCAGGTGATGAGCATTTGCAGAGAGAAATGAAGGTCCAGATGAGTTAAAAGCATCACATGTGCAGATCAGCCTGCAGAGCCCTAAGGGAAACCCACAGAGATGCAGAGCCACCACGCTGTCCTTCCTGTGGTGTTTCCTTCTGCACCGAGCAGAGGCAGGGTCACAAAATCAGGATGAGGTGCAAACAGAAGAGAGTTGTCAGCAGCAGCCAGGCTCCAGGATAGTCTGTAGGTGACTTTCTGGGGCTGGGCACTGGAGCACTGCACACCACAGCCCTTCAAGGAGAGGCAGGAGCAGATTTTTGGCTTGGATGAAAGCACCATGAGATGTCCAGTGATCGCAGCTCCATCCAAGGGACACCTGCTGGCTTCCGAAGGCAACAGCCTTCCTAACAACAGCAAATGCAAATTGCCAGATGTCCATTCAGAGACTGTTTTGGTTTTTAAGTGTCTAAGAGACATTTCTGCCTAAGTGTCTCTTTATCTGTGTTCTTCCTACATGAAAACACAACAGATAGGCAAGATCAAGAGATTTCCAATCCAACAAGAGCACTGGAAGCACAGCTGGAGATGGCAGCCAAAAAGTAATTATGAGACAGTATTCAAGGCAGGATTGGAAAGAATCTGAGAACAAACCACCCAAAAACAACAGCTTGCAGGTGCTCATGGCTACTAGTTGATCACGGTGGCCACTGCAGGGGAGAAATGCCCCTGCTTCTTAAGAACTGCCAAGGAGATTTGAGAGGAGAAGATACGGATCCCAAACTTTAGGTAGGAGTTCAGCAGTGCCAAAGGAAAACAGAGCTGGTAGAGAAGTGCCACGTGCTGGGACCTGTCCTGCCACCCCTCAAAGACTGGAGCTTCTGTAGTACAAAATACCTTGCAGCATAGATAGATGATGGATGACAGCCTCACAGGTCAGCAAGACGAGTCCAAAGGCAATGATACCCTCATTGAGTTTGGCTGTGTTGTCACCAGGAGGAACACACAGCGTCCCTGCAGGTGCCTTGCATTTCAGTGATGCTCCAGCACAGCCTGCCCAAGTGTGAATGGGTTGGGGAGAGCCTGGGAGAGTTTTTAGCAGAACACAGCCCTGACACACGGGAGGTATTTGGGAACTTTTGCAAATCCTTTCTAAATCATTAGAGTACATTTTTTAAACCTGATTAATATTATACTAATACTTTGAGATCAAGCATGACTTAAATCTTGGGCAGCAATGGGGGAAGGTCATGCTGCAAGTGGAAAACCAGCTGCAAGGAGCTGGAGGTGCCTCAGGCAGAATTAAACTTGAGCGCCATCAGTGCCGCAGCATTGCTCTCTGTGTGTCCATGTGCTCTTTTATGGTCCCAGTGCCACTGTCAGAGCAGGTGCAAAGGAAAAGAAGAAAAAGAAACAAAATTAAAGTAGCCCTCTGTAATAGTCCACTCCATAACCAAAGCCCCTTTGTGTGCTGGTTAAGTAAGAATTTATTCTTCCTTTCTCCAGAACCTCTCTGGTGCTCAGGGGCTAATTGCTTTGTGTTCATCCCAGTTCCTGGACTGCATCCCAGCAGGCTCTGTGGCAGCCAAATCCTGATCTGTTTTTCCTCTCTACTCCCTGCAGTGTGACGGGACTTGTTGGCGCTCGCGTGGTTTCCTACAGTTGTCTCCATGCTGTGACCAGGGAGCCTCGTGCTGCCAGGTTTCCTCCCAGTGAAGAGCCAGGGCTGGTGAGACATCATGCTGAGCTGGGGAGCCATGAGGAGAGCTGGGAGCATTGCTGCACCCTGCCTGCTTGCCATCGTATGGAGGACCACAGCTTTACCCAAGGATGTGTCACACAGTGAGTGACTCCTGGCTGCTGTGCAGGATCCCGGCACCAACCTCAAGCACACCCCCCAGTGTGCATATTTATGATCCCAGTTATCACCAAACCAAAAACGCAGATTGCTGTGTAAATAACTGATTTTTTAATCTAAATCGCCCAGCTTATATACTTCACCCAGCCCTGCTCAGCAGAACAGCTGGTGTTTACCAACTTCTCATTGCTTTTCCAAGCAACGTGGAAAGACGCTGTCTGCAGAGTCACAGCTGCCCCTGAGATAAGGAGAGCTCAGGTTTGCCTCTGCCCCAGACACTGCACCCTCACATCCTGACGAGCCCTGGCAGCAGGGTGTGCCCAGCAGCACTTCTCTGCTGACATCTGGGGCTGATAAATGATGCCCCATCCACAGACAGCATCCCCAGCTGCACAGTGAGCATGGGCCTCCAGCAAGTGCAGGGGGCAAGTGCAGGGCCTTGGGAGGGGAGAGATGGCTCCTACCCACATCACTGAAGTTCAGACTTCTCTCCCAAGCAGTAGCACTCCCCCACCCAACTGTTGGACCCTGAGATACTCAGAGGTTTTCTACCCCTTGACTGTCCCATGAGGACCTGATGTCGGCAGTGGGTGAAGGCTGTGTCTGGTACAGCTGGGGATAGGAAGGTCTCTCCACCTAGCACAGGTAGTGAGGATTTGCAGTACTGTGAGGTGAGGGAATGATGAAAGGTGCCTGCTCGTAGTGGTTATTACTGCTGGGTGTTGTATTTCTGCAAGAAAGAGTAGTTTCCAAGTAATCCAAATAATTCTAGCTATCATTATGCTCCTGTCCATATCTATATTTGCAGTTACAAATGCTTCCTTTTTTTCCTAGTGCCTCTGGAGGCTAACACCAGAGCTACAGTGAGCCAGGAATTATTCTTGTCATGGTATTTCCACTGCCCAAGAATGAGCATATGTTAAAGAAATCCAGTCCCTCTTTATTCCAGGATTTAAATGGCCCCCTGAGGCACCAAACAACCAGATTTGGCTTTACGTGGGCTTGCACTGCGGTTGGCAGCGCTGATGCTGGCAGTTCCTTCAGTAGCACTCACTGAATGTGAGGATGTGAGAAGACTTGATCCACCCTTTCCCCTAATTTTTCCTCTGCCTGCCCATAAAGACATTCATGCTGATGGAGGAGGGCTGGGCACTGGTGACCAGCACCTATAGGATGGACACTGACAGCCCAGCTCCTCCACCACAGCTCTGATCTGCCTCTGTGCCCTGCAGCACCTTGGGGTGCACTCCTCCTGCACGGTCACTGTGCTCTGCACACACACAGGGCTTCTCCTTAGTGTGCCTAAAAGGCATCCAGCTCCCAGCCCTGTGTCCCAGGGTGATGGATGTCATGCCAACACACCCAGGAGGGGCAGAAGATGATAACCCCCAGCCCAGCTGCTCCAGGACCTGAGCAATCAGGTGAGGTCACCTCCTCTGGCATAAAGACCCCAAAGCATCTAATTCTCCTTGGCACTTCTCTCCAGGCAAGGAGAAGTCTCCTCTGTGGCTGGAGGAACATTGGATCCTCACCCTCCCATGGGTTCAGACACAGGAGCTGGTAAGCACCAAGATTCACTGTGTTGTTATGATGTTTAATTAGTACTTGCTACCTTGACCTCTCATCTCACCAGGAAAACAGAGCTGCTGTGTCAGCATGTGTGATCAGCTTTGTGCAGGAGAGAGCTGGTGGATGAAGGAGAGGGAAAATAGTGTCTTATGGGATGTTCTCAAGGAGTGAGTCTCTTTTTCCCCCAGGCACCACAGAATCATTTGCTGTGATTTAAAGAGCACACATTTAGTTAAAAACAGTGGGTCAGAACCTACAATCCCTGCATGTTTGACTCCATGGAAGTTAGCTGATTTAGACCAGCTGAAACACGGATTCTCTATGTTTAAACAAAGCCCTTATTTTTTCACTTGTGCTCAACAGAAAGTGACCTGCCTTTAGTGTGGGTCTGTGAGGGCACGGCCCCACGCAGCTGTGCCCCCATTCCTGTCCCACAGTGTTGCACTGCTCAATGCACCAGCAGCTGAAGCCCTGGGGAAGTAGGGCCACAGAGGGTGCTGGGCCAGCAGCCTCGTGGTGACCTCAGGCATCATTTCAGGGTCCCCAAAGCCAGTGCTGAGCAACAGATGTGTGGGATTCCTTACACTGCCTCCCCAAAAGCTCACTGTATTTCATATGGGACAGAGATTTACCTCTTCTGAGCATAGGGCTGAGGTTCTCCAATGGCATCACTGGAATGCATGATAAAGAAGCCGTATATTCACTGCCCCAGTGACAGATGCTCACGGAGTTTGAAAGGGGAAAATGAAATCAGCGTTTTCAAAGTGCAGCGAGGAAATAAATGTTCTGCGTTCAGCATTTACAAGCAGCGGGCCACGTAAGTCAGACTGGATGCCTTGCAACAGGTTCCTTTGTGAAGCCGCAGCGGACTGCCAGCGTCCGGCGCACCGCTCAGCCTTCGGTCCGAGCTGCAATCGCGGGGCTCGGTTGCTCCCTGGCGGTGAGCGGCCGCCTCGCTGCCTCCTGGCTGCCTTCCCCTCCCCGCCCCGAACGCTGTGTTTTCCCGTCCCTGTCCCCGTCTCCCGCTGCCGAAGGGCGGCTGTGCTTTGTGTCACAGCGTGGGGCACAGACCCGCACGGAGCAGACAGCACAGAAAACAGCCAGGATAAATAAAGAGCTACTATTCCAGTTAATACACGCTCGGGTCAGAGGCCCAGGTGGGAACGGGCAGCACCTTGTTACCATCCCCATCACAAACAGCTGCACTCCTGCTCCAGCACCAGCTGCTGGGGCCGCATCCTGCCCCGCTCTGCCTGCAGTGCCACCTGCACAGCCCTGTGCCCGAGAAATGTGGGCAGAGCCCCAAGTCCCTCATCTGATGGGCACAAGAAACCAAAACGCTGCTGGTGGCAGGACCTCTGCTGACTGCTGCTCCTGGAGAGCACGTGGATCATGAGCATCTCATGGTGACGCGTCCATGTGATCAGACAATGTGGCCTCCTTCACTCAGCCACCTGGCCCGGTACGTGGCACAGCCCGGCATGTCCATGGGTCGCTGCGGGGCTCTGGGGATGTTGGCCAGCTTGGCCACAATGAGAGCCTGCAGCTCCACATCTCCCAGCTCGGTGGCTGCAGCAAGGGCTAGGAGGAAGTAGGCTGCTGCATCCTGTTCATCCTAACCATAAAGAACAGAGTGTTAGGAAGTAGCTTAATGTGAGGTCACAGGGTGTGAGGCAGCAGAGCCCAGTGGTTCCAGACAGAACCTGCACAGTCAGTGCAAAGGGTCAGCACATTTCTTCCCAAACTGCCTTTGCCTCTCAAAGCCTGGAGATGCCAGCATTGTGTGTACTTATTCTAAAGCTGCCTACAAGGGTGGCTGCTCTGCTGGCAGATGTGGTTTTCCACCTTCAGCTCCCTGTCATAGAATCCTAGAATGACTTGGGTCAAGAGGCTAAAGCCCATCTACTTCCAACCACTGTTGTGTGCTGGCTGCCTCTCACCCAATCAGGCTTTGCAGGGTCCCATCCCACCTGGCCCTGAGCACTTCCAGGGATGGAGCACTCTCAGCTCTGGGCAGCACTCCCAGGGCCTCAACACCCTCTGGGTAAAGAATTTCTTCCTAATTCTAACTTAAATTTCCCTCTTATAGTTTAAAGTAATTTCCCCTTGTCCTATCACTGTTAGACCAAGATCAAGATCTGAAAGCTCAACGCAGCACCACAGAAAGCGGCTTCCTACCTTCAGCTTGTGCAGGGTCAGGTTGCCAAGGTGGCAATACACCTTGCAGTAGTACAGGGCTTCTCCAGAGCACTGCAGCATGGGGGGATGCAGGGCGAGTGTCTTCAGGTAGCAATCTTCAGCCATCTCATACATCTGCAGAAAATAGTAGACTGTAGCCAGGCGGTGGAATGCAACCAGCTCTTGCAATTGATCTCCTAGAAAAGAGTTGCTGATATAGTCAGCCTGCAGCACGCTCACAAATCATTCCCAGCCCAGCACACCGAGCTGCATCTGATCAACAGCCCTGGGACACAGATCTCTTCATAAGGAGACACTACAGTTGAAAACAGTCCAGAGAAAACAAAGCCAAGGGCAGGGCTGCTGATACCAATGCAAGACAGGTTGCCCAGGGAGTGTATCATTCGAAAAGCGGATTTCTTGGTGCTGGAAAGTGTTACGACAAGACTGGTTCCATCTCAGACATTTATGCTGGCATTATGCTGGCCATTAGACCTACTTCTGCAGTGGAAAGAGGTGGGTTTATTGGAACATCTAGGGCAAAGAGGAACTGTTGAGCCCCATGCCTTCATCAGACTTCCTGTGCTCTGGTGTAGCAATAGCCCTCTGCCCAGCAGTGCCCCCGCTCCTGTGGGACTGTCACACAGCTTAAAAAGGGAAGTGGCCTTAAAGAGATGTTACCCTTAGGATAAGAATAGATCCAGAGGACTTATGAAAGCAGGAGTTCCTTGCATGTGCATGCTGCTCTCACCCAAAAGCCAGCCTGCTCTGCCAGCAGCTCCGTGTACCCTTGGGTTTGTATCACTCACCCACCCTGATGCTCAGCCTGGCTGCCAGCGTGGCAAACTCCAGCGCCTTCTCATAGCCCTGCAGCCCGATCTGCAGCTCCGTCAGCTTATTGAACAGCCGCAGCTCTGTCTTAATGGCCTGTAGCTTCCTGGCCAAGGGCACTGCACCACCCTGGTGAGAGAACAGTGAGTCTGGTGTGTTCCTGGAGGTATGACTACAGCACTGCCCACAGAAGGGTGAAAGTGCAGCAAGAGATGAATTGAGCCTTTGGCAAGGCAGGCAGACAATGGGGTGGCTGGGTTCTGGGCATCCCAGTTCTAACCCTTAAACATGAGTTTGATATCTCAGAGTGTGGTCCTCAAAAGCTGAGCCTCTCATCTCTGCCTTTCCTTAAGTGCATAAAATTCTGGCTCTGAGCACATACCCAGAATGACCATCCCACATCTGAAGCTGCCAGGATTGGTAATGCACAGCCCTGCTCCCATCCCCCAGAGTGACCTCTGGGGAGATCTGCAGCTATTGCAAAATGGACCTGTGCTCTGAGCTGCCTCCTAGCAAAGTTTATGCAGATGCAAACTCAGAATTCTGATAATGTCCTTCTCCACCTTCTGCCCCGTCCCTCCATCCTGGCCATACAGTGCTGCAGCTCCCCATGGTCATCACTTAGAAGGGACATAAGGAACACGCTCAGAGAAGTCAGTACCCTGTAAAACTCCACTGCTCGGTCTCTGTGCCGGTTGCCATTAAAAAAGTTATCGCCTGCTTTTTCATAGAGATCCATGGCCAAGGAGAAGTTCTCAGCTTTCAGAGCAGTCTCAATAGCTGCCTGGAAGGAAAAGGAACTGGAGTGAGACTTGAACATTCACACACAGATTTTAGAGTGATGAAGTGAACCACATCATCCTACACTTGAACCCCAATGCTCCAAACAGCACAGACACAGCTTGGCAAGGTGTGTGAGACTGTCATGCTGCATTTGTAAGCGATGTGTGAGGGTGGAGTCAGGAGCTGTACGTGTCCCACTGCAGGGACAGAGTGCTAGACTGACAGCTGGGACATCCCATGGAATCAGGATGAGAGTCAGGGCAGCCGCAGCCTGCCTGGTCTGTCATTACAGCAAGGTGGAGGCAATGTTGAGACTGACAAGGTGAAGAGACAACCAGGACAGGGAAAAGGTAGAGTCAGTGGGATGGGAATGATGGCAGGTATACAAGCTTCTGGGAAGAACAGGTTTTTGTGCCAATTATACACCCTGCCTTGATGCCACCTTCCACCCAGAGCATATTCTTTCCATCATTACAATCTGTCAGTGCCAATGACCATGCCAGTTCAGTTGCCCAGTCACCAGTTCAGTGGTGCTCTAGGGTAAGAGAGTGAGGACCCAAAGCATCCCTTATGTGTGCTCAGACTGGTGCTTTTCTGGATACCCCAGCTCAGTGCAATGCCAGCAGACTCAGCCAGCCTTCTGCTTGGCTTTCTTTGGGCATGTGGAAGGATTTTGTATCCTTTAATAGAAGCTGCACTTTGAATGATGGAGCCCTAAAATTTTTGTGGAAGCTTTTTCTCTTTGCAGCTCATCTGATAGAATAATGTTGGAGATGGAAAGAAGCCAGTAGCCTTCTGTTCCAAGAAGTCTTCAAGCACTTCCCTGGCACTTCAACCCTCATCTATGTGCATTTCAATGGGAACTCATCACCTGGCACTTTCTTCGACACTCTCACGTCACTTTCTGGCCCAATGAATTCACAAACTTTCACCCAGGAATCCTCTAAAACCTGTGTATGGAAGGAAAGTTAGGACATTTAATGCCAGATAGTGCATGGGCGCTAAGGCAGCAGCTCCTCCTTCCAGCAGCAGGTGTCCTATGCTCATGAGGAGAACTTTCCCTTCCAAGTTTTTGAGCCCCAAATGGCTCCTGCTGAGCCACGCAGTTGTGATGGGAATGCAGCACCAGAGTGGGAATGGGACTGCTCCAGACACCTTCCTCATACCTGAAAGTACATTTCCACCAGCTCGTCTTCCTGCATGAGATAGTACAGCCTTCCTGCCTGCAGCCAGGCCTCTGCTGCCTTGCCAGTCTCCTCAAGGTCAATGAAGATCCTCAGACTCTGTTTGGTGCAGTTCAGCGACTGTCTCAAAGCCCTGTGATGGTAACAGGTAAGAAAATACTACAGAAGAATCACAGGATGCCAGCAACCAGCCGCAGAGCTGCCACCACACCTTCACTTCCCAGCCAATGTCTGCCACCCAGAACCAAATCTGTGACTGTTGTTTGTCCCTTGGTGCTGGCAGAAGGACAGTTCTGTGCCACACATGCAAGGCCAGCTGTCCCCTTCTCAAGCCCAGTGCCATTAGAGGACAAAGGACAGGCAGCAGGATGAGGTGTTAAGTTGGACATGCTGCTTGAAGAAGGTGGCTGTGGCCAGGGGTGGGGGCAGTGCCCAGGGCATGTTTGCTTGCTTGGTATCTTGCTTGAAACTGTGCTCCAGCTGTCCTTCCAGGGACCTGGGTGCTTTGTGAACTGAAATAGCACCGCTCACATGACAGGCGTCTGCTTCCTAAATTCCTTCCCTCTGAACTCACAGTGACCCAGAGTGGGAAGGTGAACATCCAATTAGTGACAGCCCCTGCCCGCTTCTCCTTCTGGGACACAGGGGCTAGCCCTCCACTATTCGACATGCCTACCTTGAAAAACTGAAGAAAGTCTGTGGTTTATCCACATCTTCCCCTTCCCTCCTGCCTAAACTAATCCATCACCTGCATGTGTCAAACAGGAGATTGAAAGGTGAGCTGATACAAGGTCTGAAGTGTATCCCTGGGGAAAATATTCTAGTAGCAATAGGAAGGGCAAGCTCAGTGGCTGGAGGCTGAAGCCAGGGTTATTTAAATAACAGATAAGGAGTCTATTTTTACTAGTGAGAGGTGATTAATCACTGGGATAAGCCTCCAAAGGAAGTGATGAATTCCCTGTCACTAGGTCCCCTCTGAAGAAGGCTGGATGGCTCTCTAGAAAACTATGTTTGGCCATCCCCCAGTTTAATCCCAGCTAGCAGCACAGCATTTGCTGGCTGTCCCTGCGATCTGGCTGACATTGAGCTCTTCCTGCAGAGCACAGGGACAGCTCCCACAGCTCAGCCACTCAGCACCCACCACCTGCGAGCACCTCACATCCCTGCAGGGACTCTGCTGTGAACACCATGGAAAAGCCACTGCTCTTGCATGGATGAGCAGAGACTCATCTCTAACAGCATCTGCACAGGAAACAGCCACACTCAGGACTTACTCAGGGGTGCCCAAAGACTGGTAGAGCTGGCTGAGGGTCTGCTGGATATTGCCTTCTAGCTCTCTGTCCTGGAGTTTCTGTGCCAAGGAGACTCGGTGCTCGTGGTAGGTAATGCAGGCCTGGAGGCTGGGGCACACTTGGCTGTAGAAATGGCAGAGTGCCTCAGTGACGTGAAGCTGACCTGCATGGTAGAGGGAAGGGAAAGAGATAGCTCAGAGGGCTGTGTCAGGGATCTAATGGGGTTCTGCACTGAGGTGAGCACTGCCCCATCCCTGCCAGCAAAGCTGTACTCACTCCTCATGTTGTGCCACTTCAGGGCAAAAACCAGCGCAAGTTCATAACAGAGTTTGCCATCTTCCATCCTCCACCTGCTGACCATGGCCTGTGCCAGCCACAGCAGCACATGAACCGACTCCAGCTCCAGCTCCTCGCTGCCCTGCAGCTCAGCATACAGCTGGGCAGCCTGCAGCAGGTAGAGCTCAGACAGCTGACTCGCCCCACGCGACTGGCTCAGCTGCCCCAGGTTGGCCAGGGCGATAGCCTGGTTCCTCTTGTTCCCAGTCTCCTTGGCTCTGTGCAGTGCCCGGAGGTAGTTCTCTGTGGCCTTCTGCACCTGCCCTGCTCCTTTGAGGGCAATGGCGAGGAGGTTGTGCACCGCTCCGCCTTGCGTCACGCTGTCCGTCCCGTGCAGGGAATGTAGGAGCTGCCCCATGATGTCTGCGGCCGGGCCTGGCTGGCTGCTCAGAAGGTACATCCACCCCAGAGAGAGGGAGGACTCAAAAGCCTCCTCCTCACCTATCAGCCTGCTGAAGACCACAGCCTGGGCTGCATAGCACACCGCCCCATCCAGCACACCGTGCTGCAAGTACATCCGGGACAGAAGAGTGCACAGAGTCCTCTGGGTGGTCACTGCTCTGCTCTCACAGGAGAAGTGCAGTGCCTGCTTGAGGTAGGAACACACCAAGGCTGGGATGCTGCTCCTCTCCAGCTGGCTTCCCAGGAGCTTGGACACATTTTGGAGGATGAAGCCAGCTTTCCAAATGGCCGTTGGTGCCCCTTTGATGCCACTGGGAACAAAAGACCTGGCAGATGCCAGTGCAATGTTTGGCAAGTACTTCTTGTCGTACAGATAGCTCAGGATGGGGGTGGCATCCACCGGCACGGCACTAGTGTCCAGGCTGAGTGAAGTGGTGCAGAGACATTGAAGGTGCTCAATAAAGGGCAGTACTTCATCATTTTTTCCCAGCTGGAGGAAGAGCTTGACAATAAGGAAGCAGACCCGTGCTTCCAGAGAAGTGTTCCCCACAGCAATGGCCTCCCTCAGGACGTACATCATGACCCTCAGCTCGTGCTCGGAGCTGAAGGAGCGGCCGGGCAAGCAGACAAGCAAGGCCACCATTTTTCCCAGCAAGGAGAAGAACTTGTTCTTCATGTTCTGTTTCAGGTAGATTGAAGCAAGGTTCACGTGCAAGGCAGCCAGCAGCGGCAGGTCCCCAAGGCCCCTATCCAGGGTGCTCATAGCTTCCTCAAAATAGACTCGAGCCTGGGAGAACTTGACTTTTTTCATACAGAGCTTACCCAAGAGGAAACAGAGCCTGACATGGGCCCACACTGAATGAGTCCTCTTGGCCCAGTTCCTGGATGTCTCAAGGTACAAGACCAGTTCATCCTCATCAGAGAAACCATAAAAAGTGGAGTTGAGAAAAGAGAAACTGAGATCATAGAGGCTTTGATAACAGGGCATATAACTGTCTTGGTTAAGGAAGGTCAGTATGGGTTCAAAGACATCAGCATCTTCCATGTGTCCAGCATTCAGGTCAATGAAGAACTTGGGATCATCAAAATCATTCAGCTTGTCCAGAAGAACATCTTCCCATGTAGCAGGGGCTGATTCACTCCCTGGGCTGGACTGCTCTGAGGTGCTAGCTGTGACCAAGCTGTTTATCTCCTCCCAGGACTGGAGCAGCTGGGTGTCCTTACAGCCATGGAGAACAGCCTCTGGAAGGAGATAGGAAAACCACAATGGGACGTTTCTCCATGTCAGAATTCACTCTTTGGCATCACTGTAAAGACACTCTCCATGCACTCACCTGATGGCGCTTTCAGGAACATGGCTGTGGGTTCAAAACCATCTACACAAAGAGACAAAACAAACAGCCCATAGGCTTGATTAGTGTCAGTATGCAGACACAGCACTCAAACCTGCAAAGTCCCAGACCCACGTCTAAGAGAGCAGGCTCACTTCTGGCCACAGACACTACATGAAGCTGCAGTCTTAGCCCCTTTATATTCTGGAGTTTGGCTTAGTGCACAACCATGGACATGCACAACCATGAAAAGACAGGAAGCTGTGCTCTCCATGGGAGCAATGGAGCTAAGTAAGGAACTCACCCAGGCGGTACACAGAGCTGATGTCAGTGTGTGCCAGCTCTCCAAGGAGGGTGGCAAAGTGCTGCTCACCACCATTGCAGGGGATGCGCAGGAGGGGCAAGTTCTCTTCTTCGCTCAGAAACACCAATCCTTTTTCTCTAGGTTAAGGTATGTAATATGGAAAAAGAGTCAGTGTCTCTGCTGTTCTGTAGTGTTAGAGAAAATTGCCTGAGATTTATCTTGAGTGAACCTGACCCAGGAAAGCCCAACAAAAGCAAACAGACCTAACAACAGCTTAAGAATTCCATTCTCCCATATGTAGTCTTGGAGGAGAAGCCTTTTTGGATGGGTATTGAACTGGAGGTGTCTTTAAGCCAGCAGCAAAGACAGCTGTTGTGTCCTATGAGTGCAGTTGCCAGCCATGCTCCTCAGACAGCCTTTGTTCCTGTCCCTAGCCTGGCATTCTGTTCAGTGAGGAACTGTGTCAGTGGCTGCACCCCACAGAAGGCAAAGGAGCAGGAGGCAAAGAAAAATTCTGTTTTCTGAGCAATTATCAGAGCCCTCACCCTTGCCAGACTCACAGCCCCTCAGAGAAAAGCTACTAAGACAAGAGCATTTCTGGTTGAAATTGTGAAGTCAGCTCATCTGGTACACAGATGTCCTGGGCTGCCTTAGCCAGCTCTAACCCAGAGCCAGACCTTTACCTCACCAAGAATCACCTGAAGAAAGTGAAATATGAGGCTTTGTCTGGGCAGAGACTCCTGCAGCCTGTTGGCAGAACAGCCTGGGTGAGGCTTCTGGACAGACCTCACATGGATCCTCTACAAAGTCTTTGCAAAACAAACTACCTGCCCTGGACTCTCATAGCCTTGAGGTGGGACTCGGAGTTGACCCTTCCTTTCCACCCAACCTGAAATTCAGATAGCAGCATTAAACTTACAGAGATTCACAAGCCTCAGCATTTACGGATCGCACTGGGACAAAGCCGATGTTCCCACTGCTTAAAGATCTGCCCACAAACCACGGGAGTCCTGGAAGGAGGAAGCCAATGACTTCTATGCTGTCTCCCTTGGAGAAACTCAGTTCATCCCATACTGCTCCTCTGTGGTCCACTGTGGCTGTGCACTTGCCTTTGACTGGGAAACAAAAGCAAACAATGGCATTTCATTGTGAGGCTCACTGTTAAAACTTCCTTGCTAGAAAAGACTTAGGTGAAGAGAGCATGATGTTGTCTTGAGAAGACTGCCTCTCTGTTCCCCAAGATTTGTTGTACTCTCAGGCTCAGACCTCTGCAGTTTCTTCTTGAGAAAAAATATTTTGATAAAATATACACGAGGCATAGGTAAAGCCAAAGAGTGAGACCTCTGGGAGCTGCACTTGTGAAGGCAGCTGGAAAAATGAAGTTGCTGTACTTTCACAGGAGATGGACTGCCAACTTTCTGCTAGGAGTGAAATCCTTAACAGTGCAAATATCTAGGAGAATCTGAGGATGCAATACTCCCCTGCAGCATCTCACAATGCAGTGCCACTGTCAGATCAAGAGATGGACCCTTTGCATTTCTGACAAAACCCAGGTCTTTATGAGCCATGCCCATCCCTGGGAAGGGCAGCCACCCTACATGGCTATCACTCACCAATCGGCTGAGAGGTTGACTCACTGATCTCCTTGGAGACTCCAAAACTCATGGCGTAATTCTTCAGGAACCACCTGTAAGGTAAAAGGGAACCTTGCTGATCCTCTGAGCAGCCTTCAAGTCACCCCCAAGGACGGTCTCATGCAAACAGGGCAGATGGACAGTACTGCCAGTCCAGCCACACCTTGCCATGGTGGTACGGGACATGGAGGGCAGCTCGCATCTCTCATGTGCAGCTTCACACCTTGTGGAAAGTATAAGATGATTTTGCCAGCCCATAAGGAGGATTTCACCAGTAAAAGTATAGATCTGTGCATATCTTCATGACTCAGCCAAGTGTACATCAGGCCACATTCTGACTGTTATTACTTAAGATTCAGGAAGTTTTTTTGTTATCACAAGTAATCCTGTGTATGACCTAAATCAATACTATACAAGAATGATACCAGAACTAAGTCCTTGCTCTATCCCAATAACAGAACCTGAACTGGTTCCAGTCATCTCCATGCATAATGCATATTCTCACAGTTATAGGGCTCTTGCCCAGTGCCAGAGGTAAGAGCAGCTCCTCACTCCTGATTTGGTGTTATCTGGTGCATCAGGAATGGATGCTTGGCTTGAGCACCATTGATTTCCTGTCTTACTACTTCTACTTACTGGTAGAATGGGTGAGGTACGGGCTCTAGGGCAGTCACAGGCACCAGGCCTCGCTGGCCTGTCAGCAAGGACATCCCTTCCCATTTGGACTCCTCTCCAATGTTCTTCACATGGACCAGCTCGTTCCTGCAGAACTGCAGGCCTTCCTCTCCCTCCCTTGCTGGCTGGCATGCACCAGGCACTGCTCTGGAAAAAAAGTGACCTGTGGATAGAAAGAGTCATGGCCAGGTCAGTGGCACTGGTGCAAGGCAGAGCCCAGAATAGGGCTACACCACAGCCCTGCAATCCCTCCTCACCTTCCTGGAGCAGCAGACCCAGATATATGGTGGCCAAGCGACTTTCATCCATGGACACTCTGATCTCTGTGTCCTCCACCAGTGCACAGTTCAGCCAGTACTCCTGCTCAAAGAGAAGCTGCTCCAAGCAGCGGCCAACATAGCCTAAAAACAGAGGGAAAGCAGTGTCAGCACCCTGCTTTGCTAGGCAGCACAAGCTGCTTTTCGGATGTCTCCCAGTCTACCATTTGCAACAGACGTGCAATAGAGGAATTACCCAAAATACAACCTCCCAAATCCTTATCACTGATCCAGAGAGTGGTTTTGTGAATGTGTACATGAATACCAAGGCACTCTGATTAACATTCCTTCCACTTCAAGTTGTTCTCTCTGTTACATTGCTTTTATTTGTTGTCACAGAATACCTTCTCCAAAAAGGCTCTTCACGCTGTCTGGATCTCCCCCACCTTGAAAACATTACCTAAAGTTAGATACGTGGAAAACTTCCAGACTTCTTCCAGGGTTTTGAAGGTGAGGAGGAACCGATCTTCCTGTGCCTGTATGCACAGCAGCCTGGCTGATAGCTCCTACATGGAGACAAAGCAAGACTGAAGGGCTGGGAGTTGAACGTGGGGTGTCACTGGGAAGTGTGGCAAGAAAATCAGACCCCGGGGTGTAGGAGCACACACTGGGGAACTTCCCAGTGGGTTGGGTGTCCCATCACACATCCATCCCACCAGGCCAGGAGTCCCCCAGTGCCGTACACTTCTCCTACCTTGAACAGAGCACAGACATCTCTGTCGTCACTCTCCAAGGCCCACAGCTTCCTTCTGGCTGCTTCCTGCAGCTGGGCATTGGGGCACCGCGAGGAGCGGCTCTCAATGGAGAAGAACAGTGAGATCTCTTGAAAAGGAAATGTGCAGGGTTAGAGGGGAGGAAGAACTCCATGCAATACATCAGCATCATCAGGGCTCAGTCTCAGGTAGCATGAACCAATCCCATCCTTCTCATCTAGACACACAGGTGAGGAACTCAAGGGGTGACTGTGCTTGGTTAGCACAGTGCTAGGCTGCATTGAGTTGCTGGAGATATTGGTGATGCTGAAGGCAGCACCTTACCTGGCGGAAAGCCCTCCCCAGCTGCCAGCAGCACTGAGGAAGGGTCTGGGGAGCCTTCTGCTGCCTCAGCTGGGCTGCTTGGCTCTGACGCTCCTGCCTTGTCTGCACAGGAACACAGAAAAGCCACTGTCAAGTTTTGTGGTGGAATCTTGGACACTATGTCTAAACACAACATCTGAAAGCAAAGTCCATGGGCCATGCTGCATGTCTGGCTGGGGAACTGCATGAATCCGGCATCACCCTAAAATGATGCTCGGGGCTGGATGCAACATTACTGTGTGCTGCCTACATGAAAGCTGTGAGCTTGCTCCTTTCCAGAGATGGAGTGGCCTTGAGGTAAGGACTTTTCCTCCTTGCACTAGGGACAGGTCCTCCCAGGACAGATGTGGTGATCCCATGGCAGAGAGGTTTTTTGAAGATCTCCCAGCACAGGAGGGCCAAGAACTTTCAGACTCTTTGCTCATCAGTCTGACAGTCAAAATGTATTTTCTCTCCTGCCTGCTCTGGTTGGTATCTGAAATCCAAGCTGTTTTCTCTCTGCTTCACACATCATCAACTATTGCCACAGAGGATTCAGGAGAGGAAACTTTAGCCTGTATTTATGTTAATGATGGCTGTGGCACATAAAAATCCAGCTCACTCTTCTACAGCTGTATTGGCTGTGGAGGGGTAACAAGATTGAAAAGCAGTTATTGTCAGCAATCAGATAGAGCTCACTAGACAAACGTACCCAGAGATCTGAACTGGGCAATGGTTAGTGGGCAATACTGGTGGTAGGGGGACAGTTGGATTAGATGATCTTGTAGGTCTTTTTCAACTTTAATGATTCTATGATTCCATCTGGAGCTGGAACAGTGTAGTAACTTTTCTAAATCACTTCTGTCACCATAAAGATATTCTATAGTCTTTATTATTTAGCCAGCTTTGCTAGGCAGTCAAATAAACTGTTATTTCCACAATAGAATTATAATCCTTACATATAGTCAACAGCAAAGAATGGCCCAGGGCTGGACATGCGATTAATGGGCTTTTCTTTGAAAGAGAAGCCTCTACATTTCTCAACAGCTGATGTGAGTGCTCTTAACAAAGGACTTCATCCAGGAATTCCTTCCCCCTCCCCAACCCCGCCCTTGCGTGGGGAAATGAAGGCTGGGAAGCAAAAGGAGACGGAGGCAGAGCTGAAACAGAGTGCCTGCTGCCAGGGCTGGGCTGTGCCTCCTTCTCACGTCCCTCCCTTCCCCTCTACCCCACAGCCCAGCAGACCCTCAGCATGGTGTTTCCTTCCCAAGGACGGGTACCTGATGCCATGGTCTTCTCCCACCACCATCGTCCCCGGTGCTCGGCTGTGCTGTGCTGCAGGCGGCCCCAGTGCGGCAGGAGCAGGGGCGAGCGGGGACAGCAGGACTCACACTCCTCAGCTGGGGGAGAGGAGAGGTGGGGAGAGGCGTTCAGACCCCTGGTGGGATGCTCCCAGCCCAAGGACTCTCCTGGCATCTGAGAGGCAGCCGAGGTGAAGGAGGGGGCAGGTGTGGCACTGCTCATGCTGGCACTGCCAGCAGTGCAACCAGGCATGCTGGGGCTCCCCACTGAGCAGGCCAAATGGACGGAGCAAGGGCTCCCGTGGATGAGAGGAGAAGTGGGTTTGCTCCCAGCGGTGCTGGCTGCTACTTCAGTGTTTTCATTTGGGCCCGGCTCAGAAAGGGAACTAGCGAATTTTTTAAGAGACCAATTGAAACTGCTGGTGGAGAATTGTTCCTAGTTGTGCTAGTGACTCATTTACCTCCCAAGTGCTGAAATATTTTGTAATGTGGGGCAGGAAGCAGCCCCAGCCTCAAGCTAACAGTGGTTCCAGGCTCTCTGACTCCTCTCCTGGCGCTCCCTGGCTCTCCCTGCATTGCCATCCTCCTGCAGCATCCCAGGGCCCTGCAAGCCTGCAAGTGGCATCCCAATAGATAGCTTACCTGTGCACCCCAGGGCCAGGTCCTGGTGCCAAGGGGCCCCCAAGCAGCAGCCCATGTGTCCAGCATCGCCACCAGCCCCAAGCCGGCAGGCTGCTGCTGTGCTGCCGGAGGAAGCGAGCCTCTCACCAGCGGCCACACTGCAGCTCAGCCCGTCCACAATGCACAATGGGCTTTCAGAGCAGGCCCTGTGCGCCAGCAGGGTGGGGGCCGGGCACGTCCCACTGGCCAGCATCACTGCCCCACTGTTGCCCGGGCTGTGCTCTCACCCTCGCCTTTGGGCGCCTGTCACCATGCCCACGTGGCACATTCCTCTCATTCCTCCTGCTGGAGCACCAAGCTTCAGCCTGGCCTATCGGGAGATCTGCAGCCCTGATCTCCCCCCAGTCCAAAGCAACCCACTCCCAGTGCCACTGCAAGCACCACTCACCTGCTGGCACCACCTGCAGCTCCTCCAGCGCCCTCCATCCACTCCTGCACTGCCTTCAGCTCATGGGCAGAGCTATGGCCCAGCGAGCCGCCCGTCTCCGCAGCACAAAGGGCCGGCTCGCTCAGGGCTGGCAGGGCTGGTCTGTGGATCAGCAGAGCTGTCTGAACCCCAGCGTGAACCCAGGAGGACTGATCAGATGGCTGCGCTGGGCTGCCCGTGGTGGATTCTGGCTCTCTCTTTGCTCACACGCTCAGACCCTCCCCACGCTGGGTGGCCTCAGCGTGCTACACGTGGCAGAGGTGTGCAAAGCATCCCTGGGAAAGGTCAACACAGCCCCTGCATGAAAGAAAAAAAACACCACAAAAGAAACTCTAGGGAGACAAATCACAGTCACAGTGGGCTTCTAAGAATGCACTTTTCCTTTAGGAATGGGCCGATTGCCACCACGGCAATGCCTTGCTTGCCATGCAGCACCAAAACACTGGGCTTGCCAACCATCCTTCTCACCCTCCCTGCTGCAGCCCTCAATATGAGAGTGCCAAACACCACTGTTATTCCCCAGCATGCCAACACTGAACTGATCCTTCCTGTGCAGAGGAAGACCGGCGCGAAGGTGAGCAGCTGGGACACGCTCTGCCCCTGGCAAGGAGGCCGCCTGCTCCCACTGAACCATGTCCCAGAAAGCTCCGGATTTAGAAAACTCCTGCAGTCGACCTAGAGATGCACTGACACTGTGAGGGCTGAAGGAGGAACTGAGCTCCCAGCAAGGCGCCCAGATTCCACATGCACAGCCCAAGTCTGTGTGATGCCAGGCACAGCTTTGCAGTGAGGTGCTGCTGGTTTGGGGCTGCAACGAGGCACCTCTTTTCTAACAATCTTGTTGCTTCACACAGAGTGCTGTTTGTTTTAGCAATATCTATTTATAAATTACTGTCAAACCCTTCTGCACGGAGGACAATACTGAAACAAAGATGTCCTCATTTGTTGTTTTGAAATCTCTGTGCTTTTTAAGTTTATCTAGACAACTTAGGGACCAAACCCACCCCTCTGCAGGTAAAGGTAAACCTCATGTTTGACCTGGAATGTAATTTTCCTTTTGGCCAGCAGCCCAAACCACTCCCATTGCACTCTCCTGCTGTACCTCAGTAGCACCAGGACTTGTGCACAGCCCTCAGTGCTGCTGATGCCATCCCAGCCTCCCAGATTAGGAGAGGCAGCAGAGCAATGCTGTGGGATCCCATCTGGTACAGCCCACTGCTGACCCCCAGGGCCTCCCCTCTCTGTGCAGCCCCAGCAAGCGCTGCTGCCAGCTGTGTGTCCCTCCCAGGGCACTGAGTGGGAGGTGGGGGCTGCCCAGCACCCCTCACCCAGGGATGCAGCACTGCCAATCCCTGGGGCTGTCTGGCAGCTGTATCCTCCTGGCACCCAATCCACTTTGCTAGATTTAGAGACTGCTGGTGTGATTTCTCCTTTCATTCTCCAATTGGCTCCTGAATATGAAAGACCTCAGACAAACTTATTCCTCTCCGGTCTGCTCATAACCCCCATATCTGAACCCCAAACTCCACCAGGACTAATAATCTCAGTATGGACCTACGCTGCTGTGTCCCCGCACCGAGCTGCTCCAGGCACCTGCAAGAACTGCTTCCCAGCAGTGTTTGCTCAGCTGGGGCCGGCCAGCACCTAGCCAGCAAGGTACGGCCGTCCTGCCCCGTCCTGCCCCATACTGACCTGATCTGCAGGGCCCCACACCGTGTCCTCCTCACAGAACCTCAGCTCCCACCTCTCCACGTCAGGTCCCCGTGTGTGCAGAGGTGCAGACGTGCCCGCGAGTGTGCCCAGCGCCGCCACTCCCTCACATGGGGAAAGGAATTTCTTCCCAGAGCCACTTATCATCTCAGGAGCCTCTGTTTCCCAGCAGAGCAGAGGTCAGCACACTGCCCTGCCATAATCCGCCGGCACGCCGGGGGGGCGCAGGCTCTGGGGAGAGCCCCACTGTTAATCCCGTGCCACATGGAAAACAACAGAAGGGTTAACAATCTCTTCCAACATTCCTGTTTCCTTTGGGGAGTGTGCAGAAGTTGACCATTCCGTGGCAGGTTCCAAATGAAGCCTCTCTGCTTCTCACTTTGTGCTCTAGAAGTGAACCTGAAAGAAAAAGGAAATCAGCCCCAGCCTGACGGCAGCAGGGACAAAGCAAACAAACGCGATGGAGCATTTTGTTTCAGGTCAAACAAACTTCTCTTCCGTGGTTTTGATGCTCGATGCCAGGCAGAGCCGTACTTTCCTCCCCCACCCTCTGCGACCCCCCCCCCAGCACCAGCAGTGCTGCCGGGCACAGGGCAGAGTGCGGTGGGGGCATTTCCTCATTCCTGCGCTCCTGTTCCTGCTTCCACCTGCAGCAGGCAGGCTGTGACGGGCACCTGCAGCGCAGCTCCTGCTCTGCGCAGTGCACTGCAGCCCGAAGGCGCTGCTCCGCACAGAGGAACGCGCTCCATCCGGCAAGCAAAGGGTTACACGGCCACGGGGCTGTGCCCAGCTGAACTCAGCGTTTGGTGCTCAGAAGTGCTGAGGCCTGCGCCTCTCCCAGCTCGCATTGTTTGCAGTCGGGGCGGAGGAAGTCAGCACTGCTGGACGGCAGGCGGTGAGGCTGAGCCGTGCGGCTCGGAGCCCCCCAGCTGTGCTGCTGCTGCCCACTGCCTGTGCTGATCGTGGGGCCCGCAGCACTTGGGGCTGCTGCTGTGGTCTCGTCCTCACTGTTTGGTTTGGGATCTGCAGCCTCCTTCCCACTCCCCACGTGGCCAATGTGGCACTAATGTGGCTTTGGAGCAGTTGTGGGAGATGGGTTTTGGAGCTGTCATCGAAAACCTCTCCTTGCCTTGATCTTTTCAAAGCTGTGGGACTGCAGAAGCAGCACAGGGCTCGTGTCCTCTGCCAGATAGGAATAATAGCTCATGAAAGAACCCTGAGCCCTCAGGACTCTCCTCCCAGCGCACCTCCAACTGGGTCCCTCCTGCCTGCATGCTCTGGGACAAGGTTACAGGAGGAGGGGGGTGGTTCCAGGCTCCCACCACACAAGGGGACACAAGGAGTACTGCCAGCTTCTGATGTTCCAGCTTGTCCCACATCCCAGACCCCCAGCCCTCCTGGATCGTGTATGTGTGGGGCAGGCTTCCCCTCAGCACAAGGAGCAGGGAAAGGTCATTTTACTGTGTCCCCTGTGGAGCAAGGGCTGCTGCCAAGCCCAGAGGCTTTTCTATTCCAGTCCAATAAACCTGAAAGAAAGAGGCACCGTACTCTTATTTGTGAAGGGATCGGGAAGCCCCCTCAGCAGAGCCGTGTGCCCGAGAGAGGCACACCTGAGAGCCTTCCCCTCTGGTCCAGCAATGCCTTACCAGACTTTTTCTGCTTTGAAGTCCCGTCAGCAGTCCCGCAGCTCCACAGAGGACGCTCATTAGCTGATAGCCAGCCCCGCAGAAGCACGCAGTGCAGGCAGCGGGTTCTCCCCCTCCGCTCCTTAGTTGCCAAAGCCAATAGATGGCAGCAGCCGCCGCGCCATCAGCTTCCCGACTAAAGCATTGCCCCGCATCACTCCCTATATTACTCTTCCCTGCCTCTATTCTTACCCTTTTCCTATTTTGCCACTGAAACAGAAATGATCAGGAAAAGAAAGGAGAGCTAAAAATGACGAAGTGAGCACAACGCCGCGGATCTCCCATTTTTCATTTTTCAATCTCAGCTGCTGTAGGAAAATACTCACAGAAACTTGTTTAGCTCATCTTAGAGACAACAAACATTTATAAAATCCCCACAGTTTCCTATCCCTTCCCCTTCCAGTATTCACGACACAAAGTGCAGGGCGCTGGGTCACTGGGTCAGAGACTGCCCCAGGTTGGGAGGGACCCCTATGGATCATTGAGTCCAGCTCCTGGCAAATTCTGAGCTTCCAGCTCAAGTTCTGTGTGACAACCACACAATAAAAGGAAAGAATTTAAAGAAATGTTCCGGCAATTTTGGCCAGCCAGGAGCTGTAGGCTTTCCTCTGGAGGAAAGAGTAAAACTGATGGAGATAGTAATTGCTTATGCTGATCTTGAGGGTTTTTTTGAAGCTCTTAATGAGCCAAGCTGCTGGTGAAGGTGTTGGTCCTGGTGCCATTCGCTTTTAAAAGGAAACAAAGCGGCTCAGCGAGGCTAAGCATCGTGTTTTGATATTTTCAGGGTGGAACATTGTGATTTGTCGGCTTGCAAAGCTTTGCTGCTTCAATTTTTTTTTGTACATAAAGCAGAGGTTGAAATCAGAATGAAAGCTTTCAGTTTAAGCTAATTAATCTGAACACTTTGATGCAAATCCCGTTGTGTTTTCTCAGTTTTGTTCTCCGGGAATTTATTTTAAGTGCCTGCATTCCATTTTCAGAATGGGGGAAAGGAAAGAAAAACGTGAGATTTCCTACACAAGAGATAACCCACTGTCCACCCCGGGCTGAAAATTCTGTAACAGTTCTTACATTAAGAAGAAATGATTTTTTTCCTAATTGTGTGGTTCAGTCTCATCCTGAGCTGCCCAGGTTGTGTGGGATGGGGATGAGCCAAGGGCCTGTGATGGGGAAGGTGATGTGTGGTGGTGGGGAGGAAAACTCTGTGCCCCCAGAAAGGGCTGCTTGGTGCAAAGAGCACAGCGCTCGACCCCAAAAGTCCCCAGGTTCTGCAGGAACTGCTCCGATTCTCAGTTTCCCTGTGAAACAATATGAGGAACAAAAGGAAGAACAAGCCCTTGTGATAACATAGCTCCAGCAATGAGAAAGCAGCAGCATGTGCCAAGGCTCAATGTCTCTTACTGGTAACACGGCCGGGTGGCCCTGGGGAGCACAGCAGGCACCGTGCCTGCTCCCCTGCACCTGCTCCTCCCATATCCCTCTTCCAACATTCATTGCCCCAGAGCCTCATGGTGGGCACAGCTGCCCGACAGCACCATCCTGCAATCCCAACCCGGGGCTGGAGGGAGTGCAGTGTTTGCCCTTCTATCAGTCCCCACTGCTTTGGGGAACTTAAAAGGGAAAACTAAAAATAAACCCAACTTCCTATGACCTTTCGTGGGTTGAAATGGAGCTGGCAGTAGGAAAGCGGGTCAGGTACCTTGGGGCCAGAACCGCAGCTGGAATAAATCTCCCTTCTCATCACTGCATGGCCCTGTGGGTGGGTGTGCAGGGCTGGGAGCAGCAGCTGCACCCGCACAGAGCACAAACTTGTGTGTGTATACAGGGGGTAAACAAAGCAGCCCCAAATGTGTGACCTGAGGGTGCCTGGAAGGCCAGCCCTGCTACACACAGGCTGGCTTTGCAGGATGGCCGCAGCACACGGATAGCACACACAGCATCACCTGGAGCGCACCCAGCTCTCAGCCTTTCTCCTTTTAGTCTGCTTCTATTTTTTCATTATTTCTTTTCCCTGAAATCATTTGCACAGCACTAACGAGTGAAAATTCAAGTTTGCTTGAAAACAATCTATCATCTGATTATCGTTGTAATGCAGGCAGCCTGGGAACAGCTGCCTCTGCCTGTCTGTGCCTCCTCCTGCCGACACACGGAGCTGCTGGGAAGGAAGGACCGTCGTGCTGCGGTGTGAGCTGGAGGAAAGCCAAACTGCTGGTGAGTGACTGGGAGTGATGTGACTGAGGAAGAGGAGCGGGTCCTGTGCTGGTGTTGCACTGTGCTGCCAGGTTCCACCACGGCCTTCAGGGTGCTAAAACACCCACTGCCCATTTTGCTGCTTCTGGTCCCAGTCACCCTGTTTTCCTCTTGCAGCTGCGGAGCACGGGGCTAGCAGTGGAGGTTGCTCTCTGAGATAACTGTCAGTCCAAGGGCAAAGGAAGAGCACTGCAAGCCTGTGAGCCCTCTGAAAGTTCTTCCATGTGACTGTGAGTGTGCATTTGTATGTACGTGTGTATCCAGGTGCGCTGAAGGGAATGCTGTAGCTTCAAGCGAAACAAGAACACAAGAGCTCAGGCTGATGATAAGCTGACCCCTATGTGTGCTGAGGACAGAGATGTTTATATGAATTTTAACTGTCTGTCGTCTCCTGGTTTCATCGCTCCTAGCCTCAGGAGCTGTGAGCTGATTTGCCCTTGTAGCATCCCCATTGCCACACACTGCCCCGGCCCCCAGGTCATGCAGCAGGGAGCAGGGATTCCTTCCCTGGGGCCCTTGCAGCACCTCGCTCTGAGGGACGGGGCTGCCCCCAGCCCCAGGGCCAATGTCCCTGCTCCAGGATGGAAGCCTGCAATGGAAGCCCACAGTTGGTGTCTTCCTGAGCTGCTCTCTGGGGAGATGGTGGGCTGATTTCTGTGAGTTCCTGGTGCTGCTATAGCACAAGATATATTTTGAGGCCAGCCCCGGTGATTTCACACGCAGTCAGCAGCTCCTGGCTCTCCCAGGAACCAGCCAGCAGGAGTCAGGCATCAGGAAAAGAAGCAACCCAATTATCACCCATGTGGGGACACCTTGGTCCCTTGGCATCTCACAGGAAGGAGGAGGCAGGGATAAGAAGCACAGTGTCCAGGGAAGCAGTCAGTATGAGTAAATGAAATTAGCACAATTTTTTGCCCTGTTCTCCTGCCCTCATCAGGATCATGTCCCGTTTTGCTGAGTCCCGCAGGCAGCAGCCCGAGTTACTCTGTGCACACTGTGCTCTGAATGAGGCAGGCGCCTTATGGGAAAAACACACAGCTAATAATTGCTGTGAAAGACTGTGTTGCAATGCACAGACACAAAGGGATGAAAGGAGACTGCGCTCACATCCTGACATTTCCTCATTTCTGAGTTCTTGTCTCAGGCATCCCTAACACGCTTTCAAGGCAGCTTTTACAGCCAGCTTCCTCTGTCAGAGGAAAGGAAACGGAATTTCCAAACACCCCAGGATGGTGTGGGGCACGAGGGGCTCAGCATGGTGACCTGTCAGCGCCTGCCTGGGGCCTGCCCAGCACTCCCAGAAGGGAAACACTTAGAATCATAGTATTATGGAATCTTGAAGGTTGGAAAAGACCTCTGCAGTCATCTAATCCAACCATCAACCCATCACTACTAAACAATGTTCCCTATAACTTGAGGTCCATCCCCACCCAGACAGCCCCTCTCCCTCTTATTTCTGCTCCTGTTTCCATCTTGCAACAGCAAACAAAATTTTGTTAAGGGGAGACCTTTGCCTAGATGCCTCTGCGGGACCCCACTGCCCATGGAACCCCCACACTGCCCCCGCCCCTTCCCCATGGGTGCCAGAATGAGAGATGAAGATGGGGATGAAAGAGGGCTGTGCTGGAACACCCAGAGCTCTGCCAAGGCACCATGTCCTTCTCTGCAGCAATCCCAGCCTGTCTCTGCTGGAAATTTCAAGTTGTTCTGATGGCAGCAAGTTAACAAGATTTGGAAACCAGGTCAACGGAAGGAGCTTAATTAGCTTGCTGAACCGTGGGGACCAGCTCTCATCGTGTCTGCTTTGTTGACTCCTGGGATGGAGGTTATCAATACCATTTTTGGGAGCCTCGCACCCCTGGTGCTCCCCAGGCATGGGGAAACTTTGCAGCCAAAGTCCCCAGATCAGCAGCATGGAACAGCCCAAGCTGCCCTGCTGTGCTGTACAGCAGCTCTCCCTGCCTGCTTCCCCTCAGCCCTACAAGGACACTCAGAGCCCCCACTGCTGCTGGGTCCTCCCACCCAGCCAGCACTGCTCGGTGGGGCAGAGCCAAAGGGGACAGGCAGTGAGCTGGAAGTGTCACTGGCAGTGCAGGCATTGCTCACACAACCTGCTGCCTGTCTTGTCGTGTCACCGACAGCATCTGCTGCCACAACGAGAATAGCAAAGGAATGGCAAAGCAAAAGGCCCTTTCTGAGAAAGGAGCAGGAGGAATGCAGGGCCCTTCATGCTACATGAAAACCCTGCTCATTGGAGTCATGGCCATGGCTTGTTTCTCTGAATGGCAGCACAAGCTTCTTGAGGCTCCATGGGCAGGTTGTGCTCAGCCCCATCCCTGTTTTCACCTCAGGAGCAGCTCCACCAGGTGATGCTTTATTCTGACAGGGTGTCTCACAAACAAACCAAGGAGCTAATGGCTTTGAAACCCTTCTAGGAACTCTGACGTTAGTGAGAAACAAGCCCCCTCTCCATCCTGCAGCCATACACCCCGCACCCTGTGTGGGGTTTCCTGCGTGGGGCAGCGTGGATGGCTGCT